GTGCACTGCTTCAGCGCAGCCGCCAGCACGCCCGCCGACAGGTCATTCTCTTTACAGTTCGTTTTGTAAAACAACCATCTGCATGCGCTTCTCCGCGGCGCGGGGACGAGCCCACACTGCAGGGCTGCTGCTCGGAGCATGATGCCCAGGCCTGTGTCCAGGGATGCCCGAGCTCCCCGGGTGCAGGGTACAGGAGGGAGTTTGCAGCTGTCCCCTCCCCGCTGCAGCTCCTGGGGTTGGTTCCAAGCCACCTGCATCAGTCCTCACGCTCCAGCTGCACTTCTGCTCGTGTAGGTCACCCTTGTGTCCAGGAGCGCGGAGAGCCTGAAACCAAGGGCTGCCTTTGCAGCACTTGCCGTTGGGAAGCTATTTTGAGAGGCGTTTTAGAGGGCATAGGTCTAAAGTTTGTTTTAAGTGAGCTGGAGACACAAAAGGACATGTAAGTACCTGGCTCCCTGCAGGATTTGAGTGCTGGTTGAAAGTGCATCCACAGATAGATGCGGTGCAAGCTGCTTTTGGCACAGACAGGGCTGGCAGTGGAGTGGTAGGAGATACTCAGAGATGCTGGAGACCAGGACACTTGGGGTATGGGGTCCAGGGTGTGGAAATAGGAACATGGTCCCACGGGTCACTCAGGTGGACTGGGAGCCTAGAGGGAGAGGTGGGAAGGAGAGAGTATCCAGGCAGGTCTCTGTGTCTGTGTGTTTTGGGATGCTGTGCTCTCTAGGGAGTGGTGGTGGCTGCACCAGGGAGCTGGAGCACAGCTTCTGCCCTCAGTATCCATGGGAAGGGGCAGCCTGTGTGTCCTGTGCCAGAGCACACACGGCTCAGGCTGGCCTGGGAGCTCCTTGCTTTTAACCCAGGTGAAGGGGAGCCTGGCCAGCCTGCCAGGCACGGCTTGCTGTCTGTGCTGGGAGGTCACATTGATTCTTACGGGCAAGAAAAGTTTTTATAGAGGTGCTTTCCTGCATATAGTGGTGTCCTATGGCTTTTCAGGCGAATGCCGTGTGTCCTTTCCTTTTGGGCAAGCTGTGGGGGAAAGTCTTGCTCTGGGTCCTGGCCTGGGTTGGAGGGCTATCTGCTGTCACTGGGGCTGGGTCCCATGTTACAGTACTACAGCACGTAGCTCAGTGGCTCTGGGACCCTCTGTAAGATCAGTGAGCCAAGGCTCTGGCAGCAGCAAGTGGTTGCTCCACAGTCCCCCTTTGCTGTCTCTTGGGAAAAGGCATGGGAGGTGGCCTGGAGCTTGCCCTGCGTGCTGAAGGCTGGGGCTCATGTGGTGCAAAGTGCAGCAGCTTTGGGCACATGGAAAAGTGGCAGCTGGTGTGACAGGTCCAGTCAGCAATCTACCAGCCTCCCAATGTCTTTTCCTCTGTGCTTTATTTAGAGGTAACATATCAGTTCTGTCTTCCTGAGACCACAGCATGACAGGAAGAAGATCAGCCTCCGCCTACCCCACACATTCAATTCAGATTGCTTTCATGACGTTGTAACAGTGACAGACAGAATTAAAAGTTTCACAAGCTGCAAGGAATCGTCTTTCCTGTAAGTAACTGTTAGCTTGCAGCACCCTGCCTGCTCAAGCATACCTGCAGAGCCAGGCATCCCTCTGCTAGGTCTTACTCCAGGCAGCAGCATGGTTCCCCAGGGATGCTCCTGGCTGTTAAGTCCCTCTGTAGCATCTGCAGGGCTGGTCTCCGAGCCTGACAACTGCAGGCGACCTCCTTCTGGTGGGAACCACCCTCTGATGGTAGCTAAAGCCTCTGGAGGGGAATGAAAAGTGCTTCTTTGTAAAGTTAAGTAACTCCTTGCCTGCAGTGCTTGCAATGCAGCACTGCAGCAGGGCCCGAAGCCCAGGATGCAGGGCTCTTAGGCTTGGCTTGGGCTGTGACGTGCCTGGGGAGTTGTTAGCACAGGCATGTGTGGGAGAATAAATCAGCAGCTGAAGCGGCTGCAGAGAAATGGGAATCTGAAGCTGAGGGCAATGTATCCAAGTTAAGGCGTTAGTGGAGCTGGGGACAAGCTTGTAGCAGCAGGGAGAGCTGTCGCCCACGTGTTCTGGTTGTCCAAGTGCCCAGGGAAAGCTTTGTAGGGGTGGCTGAGGTCTGGGAAAGGGGAGGACAATGCTTGTTGGGTTGTATCACAGCTTGGCCATACCACATCATACAGGCAGGATGGGGCCCTGGTCTGATAGGGAATGGGGCTGCTCCCCTGGCCTGGAGCAGAGCATCCCTGTGCCCCCTAGAATGGGTTTGTGTGGACACTTCTGGCCCAGCCTGAAGCAGTGCCAGTCGTTTGCACGGAACCCGGGAGCTTTGAGGCACGTTTGGGCTTGTACCTGCTCCTGGACGCATTTCTCCTGCTGACGGGAGGAGAGGAGCGGGAGAGCTGCATTCTGCAGTTTGAAGGTCATCCCTCTTTACCACGGGAGACAGGCTCTGCACGGCAGGCTGAGGGGTGCCGCTCTGAGGTCCGCACAGGCTGCAAGGAGCTGCGCTGCACGGCAATGCTAATTAGTGCTCCAGCTCCCCGCTTGAAGAACACAGAGCTCTGCTTTGCTTTGGGCACTTCTCTCCCCCTTGAAGGCTTGGCTGAAGGCCTGTGGATAACATGGAAATCAGGGATTCCATTTGCATACTTCATTCATGGTGATATTATAGCTCTCTTTGAATCCGCGCTGCCTCTGTGGGTGCCAGCCAGCCCCCGCCGTTCTTCAGGAACAGGTCCCCTATCTCTGCTGGAGCTGGGACAGGCACGTTTGCTCCTGCCATGTCAAAGCAAATGAGGGGTGACAAACCCATCCCTGGGCTCTGGAGGCGGGGGGAGCTGGGCTCATGCCCCCTGTGCTGAGGCTGTGGAGAGGAGGAGGAGGATTCTGTGGGTCCCTGGTGGCGTTGGGAGCAGGAGCAAGAGGGATGATGGCTGCATCTTGCTGCCCCCCACTGGGAAGGGATGCCCACTGTGACTGGTGCTCCAGCTGAGGCCAGGCTGCAGGGGGAGAGAAGTTGTCCCTCCCATGCGCCTTTCTCCTCCCTGCCTCGTCTGCCCCCAGGTACACATCCACACCAGAGCCTGGCGGCAGGCTGGGCTGCATCCCAGCTCTGGATGCATCAGGCTGGACTTCATACTGGTATCGTGTCCTCACTATCTCCTCCCCTCTGCCTGCCAGGTTTGCATGTCTTCGCCCTTGCCTTTGCCTTGGAGGTGTCAGTGGGGAAGACCAACACTGTGATGGCTCTGAATAACTCCAATGTCCTGCTGCCCTGCACCTTCACCACCTGCATAGGCTTTCAGGACCTGGTCTTCACATGGTATTTCAACTCAACAGAGATGGTGGGTGGCTCTCTGGGCTTTGCCCCTGTTTTATAGGCAGGTCCTTCTGTACTTCCCAGTTCTTGCTGAGTCCCCTTTCTCCTCTCACAGGATGCCTGTTCCTCCGAGTGTCTCCAGCACAGGGGGAACAGGGCTCTGCCAACAGGGTGATTCAAATACCTCGGCACATCTGTGCTTTTGGCACAAAGTTGTTCTGCGTTTTCTGCTGCCCACAAGCTCATCTCTTAATGTAAATTGGCTGTTCATGTGCAAGACTGCCCTTTGGGCAAAGTAGGGTTATTTTTCTCCTCCTGTGCTTGCTCTGGAGTAATAGAGGTTCTATACTTGCTCTTCAACTCCTTAGCAGGAGGGCTGGTTAAGAGCAGGTCTGTCCTTGAAGGCTGGCCAGCCCTATAGCAAAGGGATTCTCTGCCTTGGGGTTCTCCCATCCTTTGCATGGTCTGTAACATCACTGCAGGGCAGGTCAGGTTGTTCTGTTGCTTCCCCAGCACTGTGGTCTGTGTGTGAGGTCCCCTTCCACAGCCATTCTTGCTTTAATGGGGTGTGCGGGGACACTGCCATGTGTGTCTGTGTGTGCAGAGCACTGGCAGGAGAACTTGGGCCTTTCCCTCACCTGGGGTTATCAGGAGCCCAGCTGATCCCGCATCCTGCATCCCTGCCCCTGCAGATTTACCATGGCAAGATAAAGAACAAAGCCTCGGAGCCCTTCCTTGTGGGACGCAATCCACGGGTTGAGTTTGTCGGCTCGACCACCAAGAAGGACAACAATATCTCCATTCTCCTGAAGAATGTGGACTTCAGCGATGCTGGGAAATACACGTGCCATGTCAGGAACCCCAAGGAGAAGAATGCACAGCACAATGCCACCATCTTCCTCACGGTGGTCCAGAAAAGTAAGTACCAGCCAGGGCTCCAGTGCCCCATGAGTGACACTGGGACAGCGGGGATGCAGACCTGCACTGATCCCATCTTGGCTTGTGGTTGTGGAGGTGCATGGGGTGTCCTGGCTTCTTGGAGGTAGTTGGCATCCCCGCAGGGCAAGGCTTGGCCTTGTATCCCTCTGTGTGGGCCAGCAGTTGGTGGAGGGGTCGGTCGCTGCTTTCTGTTGGGGGGATGATGCAGTTGGGAGCTCCCTGCTCCTGTCCTGAGGCCCCTCAGCACCTTCTCTCCTGCAGTGGTGGAGGCAGACAACACTGTGACGCTCATCATCGTGGGCGTTGTGGGGGGGCTCATCGGCCTCCTCATCCTCTTCATGCTCATCAAGAGGATTGTCCTGTTCATCATCAAGAAGACCCAGGATGGGAAGTGAGTGCGGGTGCTGGTCCCGGCACCCTTTGGTGGGTGCTGCTGTGGGGTCGTGGCAGAGGGGCTGGGGGGGGCAGGCGCTGTGAGCTGGCCATGTGCTCTTCCCCAGGAAGGAATGCCTCGTGAGCTCATCGGGGAACGACAACACGGAGAACGGCTTGGCTGGCTCCAAGGCAGAACAAAAAGCACCACCAAAG